GGGATGGCCTTCAATTTCTTCTATTCAAACCCTGCACCTTTCTTGTCAAAGATGAAAGAAGAGCCAGAAGGAGCCTGACTGCAGCACAGTGAAAGTGGCAAATGGGGGCAGTTTCCATCTCTTCTAAAAATGAGAATCAAAGCCCAGATCAAGCCTCTTACCGAAGTATGAGCTCCTGAACCCAGAAACTTCGTCCAAGTATCAAAATTCCATATAACTTATTTTTAAAAAATTCCTCCTATTCAGTTTAAAATCTATTCTCATAAAAAAGTGTTGTCGAAGTATGAAACCAAATACAATTCTGGAGTGATTTCAGTCCATCGATACAAAAAGACACTTTTTCTGAATTCTTCTTTAACAGTTTCAGCAGCATTTAAAGAAATAGTTTTGACTTATACAAAAATACCTTGCACCTAAATGATTATTGATGATGCACTAGCCTGTGTATTTGCATTCAGCTTCTAATGTTTAACAATGAAAAATACTCAGATACTTACTACACTCCAGAAACTGTTTGAGCCGTTCAAATACAGCATGTAGAAAACCCTGAAAAACAAACACGTCTTTGAAAGATGAAGCTTATTCTGCATTGTATGTGTATTATGAGAACATCTGAAATAATCACGAAAGATTTCTAATCTAGAACTAGAAATGCACTTACCATCACCTCTGCATTCCAATGAGGTTCTACAAAGCCATGGACCGTTAGTTTACGAAGCACTGGGGAAAAAAAAATTACTTGTGTAGCTATTTATTAGCTCTTGTTTCTATAAATTTCAGAACACAATTGCACTTCCACTTTCCATACCTTTCTTTCAACTCAACGCTTTAAAAAATACACATAGTTTTACATCCTGGACGCCTCATCCGTACCTAACATTCACCTTGTTGAAATTACTTTAAAACACACCTTTGTGTAAAATAATGAAGAGAACTCAAAGAAGTAATCAATCAGGAAGAATTCTGCCAAAACTTTAACTATTCAAGTCCCAAAAGATCCTGAAGTAGGAAAAAGGCCAAGTACTGTCAAGTAAGGCCCATAAGCCACTTGTAAATTCTCTCAGGTTTATCACTGCCAGTAACCCAGAAAAGCTGCACACTGCATCTTCTGAAACAATTCAGGACTTGTATTATCTACACTGCAAGCACTGAATACAAAAATCTCAGTTGTTCAAAGCAGCAAAGTAGTCAGGACATGCATTTACTCCACTCATAAGCCTTTGAGCATCAACCTAAAACATAAACTAACTGCTAAGGCTAGCTTTTTATTGCACACAGGGTAAACTTAATGGAATGAAACTTGCAGCTCAGCTTCCTCAATTAATGCTAAACACATGCAAGCCTAAATTACAACACATGTAAGAAAGCATCCTGTTTTGCCACCCACTTTCCAGCTTCCTAAATATTGACTTCTTACAACATGCACAGTGGAATGCACAGCTTCTCACATACTGAAAAACAAGTCTACTCTCTTTCCCTTCTGCATGAGCAATCCTCCTCCTGCCTCGCTAACAGTACAGGTAGAATAAACCAAGAATACAGTTACTCCCAACGGGCATGCTTTGGTTAGAGAATGGAAACTATTTACCAAAGAAGTCCTACACATCCCCTGTGAAGAAAGTTATTTCATCCCTTACATTTAACATCATTCTATATCGTTACCTTTCAATGACAATAAGGTCCTTTCCAGTGAATTTGCAGCTGCAGCTTCATCCCCTGCACAAATCTGCTGTAGGAATGTATCTGTATGATGATTCCACAAGGAACAGGTAAAGCTATAAATACTTGATGTAAGCTGAAAAAGAAAGATCAAGAATGTATTTTGTTCCCTGAATTCTGCTATACCATAATAAATCCCTAAATTTTAAAGGCTGGTTTAGACTACTAAAATATTTAATCTAACTTCTTGTATGTATCACAGGCCACAATTTTTATTTGCTTTTTGTTCTAATGAGTTGTACTAATATAAAAATATTTTTCAGAAAAATACCTTGCCTTAATTTGAAGATATGATAGACTCACTGGTGGTTTCCCTGACTACTTGGGTCTATGACTCTCACCTTAAAAAAAATTATTTAGGGCTCTTTTCTTACCTGATTTTCAGTAAATACAGCTGCTGGTGTATAATGTAGTATGATGCTTCAAAAAATTACCAGTTTTCCTCATCGCCTCTTCTCCCACAAAGACAAGCTGTCCATCTTACACTTAACGTCTGAATCAGCTTGCTCTGGGACACACTTAGCAGATACAGGTGCAATAGTATTGAAGAATGCCTACTTGAAAACTAACTTTACTTTGTTGATATGGCTGCAAACACTGACTTTTTCCTTCAATTTTTTTAAAACACGGAATAACAAATAGTTTCTAATCAGTAGAACTGAACAAAACTCAAACTTAATTCACATTACAGTTCACACATAGTGCTTAACTGATAAAGATATCTGAATTACAAACAGAATATAAAGGTTTTCTCACTCAGTTATGGCAGCACTTGAAAGCTTCATAATTGCAGATTTCCATACTTAGTCTGCTACTCCTTGTATAAATGGACTCAAAAGCACATGACCTGTTTATTTAGTTGCTTTGACTGAGTAAAGGTTAGTAAATGTCCTATTTGCAAGTCAGTCTTCAATGCCTCAGACTCCTGATGGTTAAGATTTCATTGATTACGTAGACAGAAATTTCTACATAGATAAATAGGTAAATCTTCATAAACAGTCTTCATTTTCAGTGCTTACTTTTTCCTTTAAAATAAAGGAATAAACTAAAATTTCAAAAATTCAAGAGTAACAGGTTTGGAAAAAATGTTTAACTCACGAAATTCAGTTAACTGTACTACATCGTTGCCCAACTCCAAATGGGTTTGGAGATGCCTGGCCTGCAGCCAAAGTTACATCTGTGTTCTATTCAGTGGATTTTTACAGTGGAGAATGTAAGCTGAATGACACGAGATTTGGCATTTGCATTCACATCTTGCCTTTTAATTAACCTGAAGAGATGGCCTGGAAAAATGTCAAACACATTCCCGCTGCTGCTGCTGATGGTAGTATAGAAGTCTAAACCCTAGTATTTCTTAAAGACTATACTGACTTAAGAATTCAGCACACACTTCCAAAAAACTCCATAAATTTCTAGAAAAATAAGATCATGTACATCGTAGGGCTGATATGCAGATACTATGTTCTATGTTCTGTAGATGAAGCTCTGCTTCTTTACACAAATTAAGATAATGTTCAAGCTGTATGCAAAATTAATAATGGTCTCAAACATCTCACCCAGAAATTGACTTCCAGTTATTCCACAGTATACAGATACCCAAAAAATAAGAGCACTTCTGTTCCAAGGGCAGACATTTAAGTCCACAGATATGCCATTACTGCCCTGCCAGCTAAACTCAGGAAGAAGCAAGCATGTACAATGCGAAGTCTGCATGCTCTACAATATTTTATCACATTACTTACATCATAGAAAAGCTTCCTATCTGCAGCAAGCCGTTTGGATGCCAGGGTCTTTGTAACATGATAAAACGTAAGTAGCGCCCTGTGTTGTTGAAGATCATCCTGCACCTTCACAGATTCTACAAGAGTGGGTATAAGTTCTGGCCATTGCCTTGGGCAGTCCACTCTGGCCACTTTAGCAATCAGTACAGAGATCTGAGTTGCTATCTGCAAAAAAAAAAAAACAACACAGACACCACTAAGTCAAAAGGCATTTAGAAAACTAATAATGATGAGATCCACAGCCAAATGAAACCTGAACCAAAAAAGACTAGTGTGGATTGCTAGATTTTTGTGAGCTTTTTCTTAAGCTGTTTTTAAGTTTGCTGAATGCAAATAAATGTGGAGAAAAAGCATTCTATTTTATGTTTGTAGCAAGTGTTTACATAAAATACGAAACTTAATACCTTGTTTAAATTTTACATGAAGACCAGTAACTATATTTATTCTAGAAATCTTATAAATGAAGAAACAAATATCTGGGAATCAATTTTTACTTAGTGATCTTTTCTATGACTTTCTATGAACATACACTGCTGAATACATATTACCCTTAATTCTGCTCCACTTGACTTTTAGAGCCATTCCCAGCCCCAGGCACACTTATGTGTAAGCCCAAGCCCCATCTCAGTAACTGGAACTGAGACTCTCTCTTGCCCCAGACCTTCAGAACCACATGCCAGGGGCACCTGCACCACTAATACCATGTGCCTTTGGCTGCTGGGCCCAAATCCCACTCACACCAGCTGGAACCTGGTCCTTGCAGCATAAATGCATGACAAACAGAGTGAGATTACACAGTAAGGTGGGTAATGGATGTAATCAGAACACAGGACAGGTAGTGGTCATCAGGCACAGGGTTTGTTCAGACACAGGTACAGACCACCTGCAGTTTACCCAACTGGCCTTTTTTATGTCCTTATTTTTGTCTATTCCACATTTGGCTGCTGTGAAAGTTCCTTCCCCTAAACATTCCTTAACATATTTTGTATGGTCCCTCAAAATCCTACCTCAAATATCCAAAAATTTCACATTCTTGTTTTCCCTGTTCTTATCCCATTCTAATTGAAAAGGTCCTTGACTGGATTAGTGAAGCAGAGACTCTCTCCTTCAACACGCTAGAACAACCATACTTCCAACTTGGAGAAGTCACCTTCTTAGGCTACTACAAGGAATCCAAGCAATTTACAGGCCTAAGGAGGACAAAGCTATGCTCTTCTCCTTCTTTTCTGTTTCCTGAGCTGTTTCACCTGGAGTCTGACAACCCCACCAAGTTTTCTGCAATATTTATTATGCTGCTTAGTGAGAAGAAGTGCTTCAAGAAAATGATGTCAATATTCACAAGGAAGAGCTGGGAGTCCTACATATTGCCATATCAAATTATGTCAATTGACAAGGGGAGCAAATAAATTCTTCTCCATACACAAGAAGCAACCTCCCAGGAAGACCAAAAGTAATTTTTTCTTGAGGACTGGCTTTTTTAAAGGGCGAGAAAGGAGAAAAAGAATTTGCTGTCATACATTTGAAGAAGTATTTTGTTACACTGTTCCCCCCCAAACGCTAAATATCTTCAGAGGGCATGGAAATTAGGCCCTTAGCAAATGGTATGTTCTCATTTTCTCCTCTACCTCCTCTGGAAGCCAATTTGTATCATCCTATCTCTGTAATATGCCTATTTCTCACTTTTTTGTGTTGTTTTTCTTTCTATACAGGAGTCATAATTTCTTCTGCCTTCAGTGATGCAAAAAGCACAAGCAGATAGCAACTGTGTTATGAACTATCTGTGACTGGAAAAGTGCAGTTATCAGGAACACAGGATATCAAAATTCAGACATATCAAGCAGGCTGAGAACTAAACGAAATATTCCTCTGAAAGGACACCTTGGGATACCTACAACACAGATTGGGGAACAAGGGGAAAGAAAGGGATATCGACTCTGTAAACATATTTCAATATCGCACATAATTGTTAGGGCAATTACTTAGACTTAAACAAACAAAAATCTCCACATCTTAAAGAATGACATCCCAAAAATGTCGTAAGGTCACACAAATCGAAACATGAAGCCACAAGTCTTTAAAATGTCAGTTAAAAAGGTTCCAATCTCAACTGCAACTATGGGCAAAGAACTCCAGAAATGTTCATTAGCAGTGGCATTTTTAACTACAAAACACTCGACGCTATCATCTTACCACGCAAATTGATGAAATACTTATGAATGTATGGAAAAACTATTGATTAAAAGTTTTAATTGTTTTACAAACAATGTAGTTAATATTAGAGTTTAATAATAAATTTACCTATTTATATGTGCAAAATCCATAAAAACTTCAAAATTAAATATTTGCTAAATTACATGCTACCTAGTAGAAGCATGAATGACACACAATATGGTTCATCTTGACATACTTCAGTTTTTTGGTTTTTTGTTAAAATACAGAAACAAGTAATATTTCATCATACTGTTTACATTGAAACTATACCTGCATAACAAATCTTGAAATATTTTATATGCTTTTTTAAAATTGCATTTGCAATGCAATTTTTGACTCCAGTCAAAATTGTCATTTCACAATGGGCTTCTGCAAAGACTAAAATACCATAATTTTTGATAAATTGCTCTAATCCTATAAACTACATTAATCCTGTCAAACAATCCCAAAAAGTTAGAATTGAACTGTCTGCAGAATAGAAGTTTCTTTCCAATGCCTTTTCTTTTTAATCTTTACCTTATGCCTATCATTTCTGCATTTTCTTGACAAAGTTATTTAAAATCCAGCTCAAAATACTAGCAAATACTTCCCTGCAGAATCTTATACTCACATGATGAAGAAGTTAGCAGAAATAAGATTGATTCATCTAGTAAGGGCATACTCTGTGCCCCTAACATTAGTTATGTACTCAATATAATAATAAAAAATTCTTATTCTAATCAAAATCACAGCTTACAATTAGTCACTTTATGTAAGAAAAGACACTATCACACTGAATCTTCATTAAGCTTATTTAAATTCACTAATGCTGTAACTAGACATGTGACAGCAATACTGCTTAGGTGGGTTTATGCAGCAGCAATCTCAACAGCTCATTCCTGCTATGCCACTGCCACACTTCCTTGTATGGCCACACTGGGAGTCAGGTAAGAGAACAGACAAAGCTGAAAAAAACAAAAATCACTCAGGAAAAGCTTATTTTTGAGCTACATCCATCCCCTGAACCATTTCACCAAATGGCTGGACAAACAGCAAGAGACAACAAACTGCCACTTCAACACCAAAAGAAATTAATCACAGAGACAAACATGTTATTTCCAACCAAAGTGGTTCTATAATTCAATGAATTATGATCTATAGCAAAAGATCTTACTTCAGGATCTGTCTGAAAAGCAATATGTAAACTGCAACTTTATTATAATAATTAAATACTTTGTAAAGAAAGAAACCAAGCTATCTATCAATACAAGCATTTCTTGGGAGAGTAATAAACAATCACCACTAACCTGATTCACTGGCTCATTAAAGTTGGTGATAAGTCCAGCACGCAATGTAGTTTTTTCTTCTTCAGAAAGAGCACTGCCAGGATATATTTATTAAAATATTATTTATCTTCAATTTAAAAAACTACTATCAATTAATACGTAATTATCAAAAACACTATCAAAACTAAAAAAAGAACATTCTTTGTTCTTCCACTATCTCAAGTATCTTTAAGAAGAGAGGGAACAGTGAAAAAAATACTTATAAAGCATTTTAGTCTCCTGATTTGAGACCTGAAGTGACCTTTCTAAAGCTAAATGGCAAAAGAGAGTTGACAGAGTGAGATACACAGATATACAGTAAAAAGTGCAGAACTGTACAAAATAGAAATGGATTGCTCATAGACAATTGTTATAGAGTTATTACTGCCAGAATTGAGGATTTGAAAATGAGTTTGCCTAATGGACAATGGCCAAAGAATGTCCAGAAGAAGGCAACCACCATATCAGGTGATAGCTCTTTTTGTTAAAGCGGTAAGTCTTTTCTATTAGAAATCCTTTTCTGCAAGTAATATATCTACACTTAAAAGTACAGATCCTTTGAAAATTATACCTTTATGTGAAAAGTATGTTGATACACTCTCCATAAAATGCAGGGGAAAATAGTGAGCAGGGCAAATTCTAAGCCATAAAGGTTAATTTTCATTCAAGTGCAGCATTGTGGTATCTTAATACTTCAAGTGACCTCTATCAGTTTAAGACTACAAGCTACAGTATGATATCACTCCTGTATCACTTCACACTTTATATGATTCATGCAATTTTCTTATCAGTTCCAGGGAGGAAACACAACACACTGTTTTAAAAAACGTTTTGTGATTATTTATAGATTATATTATTGGGGAAAAAGGAATGCAAAACCAAACCAAAAACGCCAACACGTTTTCATTTACTGATAGCACCTAGCAAGCTGCTGCTTCTTCATAAAAAGCCTGTATGTTATCACCCAAGGCTGCTCAGATGGAAGTTGCATCTAACATTGCAATGACTTAGAAGCATGCATGCAAACATCTCAATGAAGACTAATGGTTGGATATTAAGAAGATTAAACACAACAAAACAACCACTTCCTCTCGTCTGACCTCAGGCACAGATATTAACCAGCTAGTTTTATATACTGAGATTTAAAATTATGTCTAAAGCTCACTAAAGCACTAGCTCTTACACTAATCTAGACAAATACTAAATATAAATCTCAAAATAATAAAAGAATAGAGGCAGGAATTGCCTCTTATTGTTTATAAGAATAAACATTTGCAAAAATATTCTAGTTTTCACTTTCCCTTCACCCCTGAACAAAACACAATTACTCACCATTTCCTACATCAGACTTAGCTTTTGAAGTATATTACAAAAGGGGGGCAATTCATTGTTTCACTGGTGACTCAGAACTGTACATTAAATCTTATTTTCAAAGGTAATTGTAGCATTCAGAAGCCACGATTTTATTTTTTATTTTTTAAATCAAGACACAGGCTTTAAGATTTTTTCTGCATAAAATTAAATTACGCTTAAAAACATTTTCGTTAAAACTTAGAGAGATTTCTGCAACAGTAAAAGCTTTTCTGCATGTAACTATTTAATTTATTAATCTAAAGCCACAATAAATTTTTGTGGGATTTTGAGTTTTTCTTTTATAATGTGAAAATGCAGTATGTAAATTCCACACATACAGGCATCCTCTAAGTAGTTTCTAAAACCTAAAAGCTCTTATTAATAAAATTTAAAAATCTATTCTCAATTAAATGTAGATTGTATAATACCTCCGTTTCAGAGACAACAGAAAACACCTAAAACCTGGTTTGTAAAGAAAAAAATAGCCTGGTTTACTATATGACTTCATTTACTTTGTGGGCTCATAAGACCCCTATCCTTAAACACTTTTTCGTAATTATTATTATATCAAACTGATCATATGCACAGTCTAAGAGCAGCAAGGATTCAGTTCATTACCGACTGCAAATAAAAATGCTATAATTAAGTTTTTGCCATTGCAGACAACACAAATGAAAGAAAATAAACAGATTCGTGACGATGAACGCCTCAAACACAAGCTTGTGATAAGCAAAACTTGAAAATAGTAACAAAAAAACCCCTATCTATTAAATCAGTGCCGACACAAGTGTCACACAGCGCTGTGTGGCAGAGTCCCTAAGGGTCTGCCGGACCGCGGGTGGAGGAATTCAGCGTTTAAACAACACGAGAGTGACATCTGCAGGGAAACAGGGACACCCTCAGCCCCTGAAGGAGACACACCAGCACCACTGCCCTCAGCCGCCCTCGGTGCCCTGCAAGAAAGCCAACTCCACAATTCCAGCCATAAAAGTCATAAGCAGGCAAGAAATTAGGAAGAACGTGCCCCACTCAGTTACTTCCCTACAGCATTGAACTATGTGCGCCCAAAAATTAAAACAACTTCTTCTACACATGAATTTCTAAGTACTATCCACTATGCTGTAGGCTTTCACAATTTGCAAGTTCAAAATTACTTTGATCTTTCTCTGTGTGTTTGTGGCATGGAGAAATATACATGCAAATACAAATTATTTTCGAGCTTTTTTATAAAAAGTCTGATATTCCGGATTTGGATTTCTGGCTTATGAGGAGTCATCACACAAGTAAAAACATGTATTTGAAAAGTATTGTTAAAGTTGCTAACACGGTATTCAAATAAGAGAACAAAGTCGACAAGAGACAGGATACAAAAGCAATTGTCTGTAAAATCAAAAACATGTTCAGCTCTTAAATTCAAGACACACCATTTCTGAAGAAAATAAAAACAAATACAAAACCATCCTGTGAGACCAGCTTTTGAGGAGGCCAACACAATTTCCAAAGACAAGACCAAATTGTGCCTGACAAGAGTCTATGACAACTCTACACTCTTCACCAGCTATATGAAAAGCTGCCCGAAAAAGCAAGAGGGAGGAAGTTAATAGGCTCATCTTCAAAATCACTCTCACTGGAAAACGTGGTTTTTAGCTGATCTGTATGTCAAAACATGCTTTGACGCACTACTATGGATGGAGAGGGGACAGCGGCTGAAGTGACACACACAAGACAAAAGACAAGAATTTTGCAAAGACAACAAAAACACAGCCGCTACAATGAAGCCTTCAAAAAATCATGACATTCAAACTATGATTGGTTCATAAAATAATTAACTTAAGGATTTAGTTTAAATCAGGATTTCTCAAAATGACCTCAACATATTCTAGGAGAAACGTGATCTAAGTGAGCTCTAACAAAAAGTCACATCTAACAAATTTAGAAAGAAAAACAGTTGGACACAGACGAAAGATTTAGTGTGCATTACTCCACTGAATCCTTAACAGTAGCCAACAATTTTAAAAATTGATTTTATACTTTAATTGCATTAAATTAGTGACAGAAAAATTGGAAATATGGAAAAATATGGTTGCATTGGAAATTTAATATAGTTTTAACCCATGAAACCTTTAATAGCCAAGAAAAATATATTTACAAAATTACATTTAATTTAAAACTACAGGAAAACTACATTAAAAGATTTTTATTTAATTTTTACCTCCAACAGTAAAATTCTAGTCTTTAGTTCTGCAAGAAATAAACTATGCTTTTTACCAGAAATGCTACTAGTATCTAAAAATAATAACAAATTGAAATGATGTTTGACTTCTTAGTCCTTGCTAAGTACCAGTATTGTAAGCAGAATCCTGTTAACCAGAAATGTCAAAGATATATGCCGTCTTTCATGAAAAGGATGGTGTTTTCCTTTCACATAAAAAATAATCCAAATGCTTGCAGATGTTTTGCAATTATATACTAATTCACACATAGAAAAACCCTAGTGCAATAATGCAATATATGCAATAATGAAGGAGAACTACACTACTTATAATGTGCTGTGGATACAGAATTTTGTAATTTTTCCCTCTTTTGGTAGACCTTTGGAAAAGCTTACAATGCAAGGCAAAATACATTGAACTATCTCAAACAATGAACAATGAAAATCATACTTTGTATCATAATACTAATGCATATTTGTGATCCAGAAAAATTATACCTAGAATTCCATCTGATACCCTACATCAGACAGTGACAGTTCCACCTATCACTAGCATTTAAGAGAGACTCAATACTTGAAAGCCTTTTATGAGTTCTGGAATTGAAATTCTTCATGGAATCACATCTGTTTTTAAAAGAAAAATAAGCACTTCACACAAAAGACCGGTAAGTATGTAATTCCATGGGTTACATATTAAAAATGGCACTTCTTGTAATTTTTAAGTAAATTACATGGTACTCATGGAAAGTGCTTATATTTCTCATCTTCTTTGGAGACCTCTTTGTCATGCATTATCAGCACCCATATATCAGAACAACAAAAAATGAAGACCAGAACTTTTTAGTATGATAATTATTCCACTGCCTCTTTCCCATGTACACATTCAATATGAATCAGCTTAAACAAAATGAAATGCCTCCCTCACTCTCCAAGAGACTGACTACCTTTCACTTCTGACAATATCAGTAAATCCAGGTCTTGATGTTGTAACCCTTACTGCATCACTTCAAAACCTAATATCTGTGAAACAGCCTTCCAACTCAGTTCTCAAAAGTAAATCATGAACAGAGTCATAAGAAGCAATATAAAGACAAAAAGTTTTATCAGCAAGTCCTGAAGTTTGAAGCATGCTGTCAGTTTCAGCATAAATTCTAAAGGAACTTCAATGAATTAAGGATCTGCTGTTTCTCCAGCCTGGCAACGATAATAATGCCAACTTTAAGACAGGTAAGTGGAAGAACTCAAAACTTACTGTGGTGCGACCCGTCTCCAGTAGCGATCAATTCCATTTTTAAAGTAAAGCACAGCTAACCATCTTACATTCACATCCAGACTATGATTTGTAAAGATATTCTGTTTACAAAAGTAAAAAAAGAAAAGTTAAAAACTGCCCAAGACACCACAAACAAGACAGAAATTGCATCAACACGTGCCCTCATAAATGTAGAAATAGACATACCTCCATGATATGGGTACACATAAACAAAAAGCCTTAATCATCATTTGACAGAAAAGTGAAAACACTGCTAAACATAAAATTTTAGAGATTAAAAAATGTTTATCAGTAGCCCAAATCTTGATTTATTTACACAATCAACATATAAGGCAAATGTATTGCTAATCTTGTCTGGCAGAGAAGGAAATATCATGGTAATGATTACTAGAATCAGATAATTTTTACATTCTTTAATGACACAGCTCTCAGAAGTTTGTGCCACTGCAGAATACAAGATAATGCTTTATTCTAGCCAGAATCCAGTTTTCATGTTATTTATTCATTATGTTCTCATATACCAAGAACCATCCTGTCTACCAATACTGTTTGTAAAACATTGTAGGTCTGCCATTTTCAATTTCAACTATGCTTATTCTAGGAAATTAGTTTCTACCAATAAAAAGCTATAGATACATGCATACATATGTATCTATCTATATATGCTTTTATAAATCCGTACATACAGACAAACACAGAGGAGTTATTTTGTGCCGTAATGTTGCAAAGCTAACCAACCAAGAGAAATTAAAATAAAGGTAGGCTATTGAATCACAACAGGGGTACTAGTCTGAACAGCAGCTCTCCTCCTGTTTTCTACTGCATCAGACGGATCCTTCTCAAGGGGTGAGACATCATTACTCTCTCCTTTACAGAGCATGTGTGAGCTCAGTACTCTTACTATACAGTGCACTGCAGAAAGAGTGTACCATTTGTATTCATTGCTTTTAGAAGTCCAGTATGAAGGGACCAGAAAAATGCAGGAATTCAGGTCTAAAGCATCTGCTACTTTCAGGCGCCATGCCTGCAGAAGTATAAACAAATCTTTCAAATGACTCAGCACTGTAGAAACCTGGGCCGTCATTTCACTATGAATTCAAAACCTAACTTTCTCTCAAACTTTCTTTCTATTAATAGTAACATCTTTCTAGAGGTAATGGCCAACAAAAATAAAAAACCCTAACACTCCAATCACTAGAAAGTAAACAGACGTACATGCCAACAGTGACATCGATCTCAAAACTGGCAAACTGTAGAAAAATATCAGAAAGGTGGCAACCCACCAATAAATACAACACAACATGAAAATGACCCATATGTAATATGCCCTCCCCCAGAGCTCATTTAGGAACACAGAATAATCTCTAAAAGACTTGACCTTTCCCAAATGCAACTTAAGCATATTAAAATACAAACAGGTAACTTCTAACACTACTTCCGTATCATAAAAGAAAAATTTCAAAATAAATGAAACATGGAAAACCCAAACTACTCATACTGCAACTTCCATCCATCTTCAAACAACTATTCCTCTCCTTGATAAAATATTTAGCAGAACCAAAACTTCCACAGATAAAAACACCTTGAAACTAGACCAGGCCTAGATAAAAAAAGACCAATGAATTTACACAAAAACAAGTAGAGCTTCTCTCTATACTCTGTATCTTCATGCGAACTTCCTAAAACATGAAGTATTTATTATAACACAGTAATGCTGTCATAGAAATAACAGGAATGAAGCCAATATACAAACTGATGTAACTTCTACAGAAGTTCTTTTCAAAACCATCCGATTTATCTCTGAAGAGATATATGTAATACCTTCAAAAGAGAAACACGGAAAAGTAATGATAGCAACACCACTAGGTACTAAAAATGGTAGGATCAAAGATGAATGTCTCATGCTTCTTTATGATTTTCTCTGTTCTGATTGTCCCAGAAGCAAGTGTATCCCACAGTAAATAATTATACTACTTGCCACATCCCACAGAAATCAGCTGTCTTACCCATCCTCCATTTACATTTATCTGTTTCCTTGCACCCTTTTCTGCTCCACCAAGAAGGTGCCAACTACTTTCTCTTCCAGACAGTCCACTTGTCATGACCATGTTAAGCAAAGAAATAGACACTTCACTTGTTTAGCTTGGAAGACTGTGTTGATATTTCACACTTAAAGAAAGGCTGATGTGACCCAAACAAATCCACCTAACCGTGTAAAAGGAATTATCAGCATTTGATCCCCTTTGATAAGCATCTAAACCTCTGAATTTTTAGCCCTTATATTTAAAATTAACTCGTATATGTTCCAGTTACACCTGTAAGTGCTCAACATGTCTACACCCTGAGGTGTGAGGTCTCAAAGCAAACATCCAGAGGAAAAAAAAATGTCACTAGTGTCAATTTCTGCTGTTTACCATCAAGATCATTTACTACTACAGCTACACTACACCAAAGGCAGTGCATAAAAGAAAATTTAACAGCTCAAAGAATCTTCTTCTACCCCTTTCTCTAAATCCTCGAGCTTGCCTTCAACTTTCCAAACAAATGAGAGAGTCTACAGAGAACAGAACATGTCACACTACAAATCTGAGACATTCCATCTATGCACCGAGAACAGATGTTTGTAGAAAAAGCACTTTACCTGTGTTTTAATTTAAGGCTATTATAAACATGCATAGAAATTGGAAAATAACAACAGAGTTAACTTTCGAGTGTCTTTGCTGAAACAGTTTCATTTCCTTTTTGTCATCACTTTAGCCATATTAATGCATCCATTTCACCAATGGTCATAGTACTTTTAGAAGTATTCATCTTTCCCATATCAGGATCTTACTACCACAGTCAGGTCAGCTAACCTCCGTGGGAGTCTCCCTCTGCTAACAAAAAGGAAAGCAATCCCAGAAAGGTATCACACAATGCAATGGAGAGCATGAGAGAACTTCTATTAAAGTGTTCATAAGGCATCATCTCCACAAAAAAGAAAAGGCCTTGGTATATAAAAGGGTCCCTGCCTCTTGAGGTAGTAAAGGCAATTCCTTTGACAAGGGCTCTCTTGGTCTTTTACCATCTAGAATTCATAACAGGTCAATAAAAGATTTAGCACTACTGCCCACTCATAATGCTAGAGACTGCATTTCCACCTCCTGAATGCCTGGGAAAAGAGCTCACTTTGAGACACAATGATGACAATGCCTATCACTGTTCTATCCTACCATATCATTCAGCATAAGGATTCTAGTTGCTGGACCATGACAACTCAGGGCTTCTCTCAGCCCCAGCTCATGGTTCAACTGTGTTCTAGAGACCAGTACTCCAAATTATTCAGAGTTTACTTAGTAGCACTCTTCCACTGTATCTTACCAACAAGACTGAATAAAAACCTGGCTGTGTCTCCCACTGCTTCAGTTGTTCCTCAGCTGGCTTCAACACTGCGGTATCTTGGCTAGTAGCTTGTGTCAAGACTTGCAAAACAACACTACTAGCACTGTTGAGATCCATGAAAATCTGAAAACATTTTAAACAGAGAAAAAACACTTAAGGAGAAAAAGACAGCAAATATAGACAGGTATTTTCCATTCATATTATCCAAACACCCCACACTCATTTTTCATTACACTACACAGTGTAAAGATAGCATGACACCCACTCACAGGCAGTTGAGGTACAGGGATAGAACTATTTGCTTTCAGAAATCTGTCAGCAGAAGGAGCAAGCATTAAATCTATCATTACAAGCACATTTGCTAGATTTGAGAAACTTCAGGAAATATTTTGATTTTAAAACAGTTACCTCTCTTGTGAGGCACAGCAGCTAAGAGCAAAACTGCAGCTAGAGACGATCACTCAGCTGTAAGCAGAGTAAACCATGGGGTTGTCTGCAAGAGACAAAGATGCAGATTATTAACATTTTTGCATTTTATTTTTCCTTCAGGAGAGAAAAAATACTCACCCACATAGTTAAATTCCATAATTCAAATTCATCAAAACGATTCATAGTAGTTAAAAAAGAAAGCATTATGTCTCACAATTAGTCCTATATGAAACAATTTTACTCAACGTATTTGGTTTCCTTCTTATTAAGCATACAAATATTAACTAGCTGAACTATGAATGCATATTGCCAAATTTCTAATGTATATACATCCTTATGCACCCTTTTACTCCATGAATGGAAAACAAAACACTGCACTCCAAATGACAGAGATCACATTTATAACGACCACAGAAACAATGTTACAATAAGAAGACACATATATGAAAGAAACTATGAAGTCTGGTTTTTGCTTATAAAAAAGACTGCTTAAAGCGTATGTTAACTTTTAATAACACATACACAGTTAAATATTCATATACTTAGGCTTTCTAAATAAACAACAAAGAAGAGCTTCTCTTCAAAGAGGAGAGAGAAGGAGGTGCAGGTGGGCATCAGCAGGAATTTCTTCATGGAAAGGACTGCCCAGGGAAGCCATGGAGTTGTCATTCCTGGAGGTGGTCAAGAAATTACTGGATGTGGCACATAAAGCAGTGGTGTAGCTGACAAGGTAGCAATCAGTCAAAGGCTGGACTCGGTCTTGGAGGTATCTTCCAACCATAATGACTCTGATTTTCTTTTGATTAATAGGAAAAAAGGTTTATTGTTCCACCTCCACGGAAGAGAATCAAGATTAAAATTGTTACAGTAATGGTAAAAAAATGGGAGAATTAAATTTATTCTGACATGGATTTAAAATTTTGATTATTTTTAGAAAAATCACTGTAACAACAAAACAAGCCACAATACTTTTATATCAGTAATAGCATTGGACAATCGAAAAATAAAAATTTCACCCTTAAAAAAAAATTTCTTCATCTCCAAATCTCCAATCATCCTCATAAAAGCTGACTAAAATTTGAAGGTTCTAAGGTTAAAGAAAGTCTGCTATCAAACCAATGAAACACAAAATCACATCTCTCTTTACAGCAATAATTGAAAAGGTGACTCCATCTCTGCTTTATACTTCCAAGTAAAGTGAAGAATCTTCCAGTCTTTCTGCTTTAACCAGCTGTGCACAAGGTAGCTGAAGGGGGTTACTGCAGGGTGTCTTCTGTGAAAAGGTGCAAGAATCTTTACCCATGTCTGACAGAGGCAGTGCCAGATGGCTCCAAGTCACACCTGCCACTGACCAAGGCTGAGCCCACCAGCAACAGCGGCAGCACCTCTAGGATAACATGTTTAAGAAGGGGGAGGAAAAACCTGCAGGCTTTTGCTTCTACTGGAAATCTGCATACTTCACAGAGAACAGCTCTTATTAGAAGACATAATTATTTAAGTTAGTAAAATGCAATCACAAAACCAATTTTTTTTCAGTTTCTTATTTCAAAACAATTAGCTGGCAGTTCTAAAGACAACAACAAAATGACAACAAAATTCAAAGTGAAAGATTTGCTTCTTTTTTAATAATGTTTATCATTCTTGAAAAGGTTTGTATGTCTATGTAAAAACTGGAGCAACTACTGTTTGAGCTACTGCTCAAAAAACACCCTCAAGAAAAAGCAAACTAAGCTTAGTGAGTCAAACAAACATTTATTTAACCCAATGTTTTTTCTCTGTCAAAACCACAGCAGAGAGCTAGATCAGGATATTTCTACATAATGCTGGCCTGATGTCCAGAAAGCTCTGGTTCAAAGATTCTTTATTAAGAGGCAGAGAAATTAACAGCCCTCAAGATTCAGTCTTCAATGAATTTGCACAGTTGCTTTTTGATCCCATGTAAAGAACAGTCCTCACAATATTGGATGAGGCTGTCACAAGCCTAACAGCAAAACTGAATTAGAAAACAAGAATGTCCCTGAAAACTCAACTTTCAAAAAGATTTATAAATACTGTAAAATATTTTAAGACGTGATATATTCTGTATGATTTGGATGGCAAAAAATTAACTAGAAAAATATCTAATAAATGTGTAGCAAATACAAATGGCAAAGATGCAAAAAAACCCTGTCTATTGCTACTGCTTTTTAAAACTTCCTCTGAACAGTTTCTGTTTTCTTCTAGTAAGACACTAATCTTACTTGTATTACTTTCAATTTGGAAAAAAACAGAAAGAAAATAAAAAGAAATTTAAAAAAAAATACCAATTATTTTGAATCAATCCTTACTGCACAAAACTCAAGATTTGCAGTTTAAGCTAGCTACAAGTAAGCTAAGCTAAAACAAAGAGCTATAGTCACCAAAATAGTGTAACCCTCTGCATCTCCCTGAACCCCTGAAATATCCCTTAAATAAAGATGGAAGGAGAGGGAAAAATACAGGTTTTCGCCTGGGTCCAGTTTTACAATCATTGTCACACCACATTGCTAGACAAGTAAATGTGCTAGGCATAAAAAAGCAGACAGAACAGCAAGCAGCTTTTATTACACGCTTGTTGGAACCTTGGTCACTGAGAATTTTAGACTTTCTGTGCTGACAGGCACTGACCCCCAGGAGAACACTGTATTTGACCTGAGGCCGTGGAGAAGGCTTCCAAAACTGAATGATAGAACTGGGATTATGGGTGTGTAGTCTGAATAGAAGTGTGTAGTATCACATGGTGGAAAACTCTGAGTTTAAGGTTTTAGAATACAGTGATATATATGAAGCAAGATGAACGTTTCAGGGTGGAGGCTAGTCCTTCTTCACCTTTTTCTTCATGGGTTTGGGTGATACTGTATGATTGAATAAAAAACTCCGCATTGCGGGCCATGGGTGGCTGGTTATTGGGTTAAAAGTAAAAATAATTTAGGTGTCATTTCTTAATTGGACAGTTTATCCTTAAAAGGCCTTGTAGAGAAAAAGACAGAGCTCCGTTTTTAGTTTATTAGCTTGAAGTGCAGTAGAACTCACGGTTTGGGAGACTGCAATATAGATAAGAACTAATAAACATCTGAGTCTGAACAAGAAATACTGTCTCGCTTATTTAATCCCGACACTGGCAAAAAGATGATTAAACTCGATACGTGCTCTTATCAAAATATGATGTAAACTTAGAGCAAACTTACAAATTGTGACTAAGCTATAACTGCCTGCCAAAAGGCAGGGATGGGATACTAGGGGCACACAAAACAAAAAAACCCAAACAAGCCAAAAAGTCGAGCCATCTCAGCACACTGTTCCACAGACACCAGAGAACACTACAGGAGCAAGGAGGAATACCTGACTTCCAACAATGTAAAGCCATTAAGGCTCAGGTCCTAGCATAAAACTTCAACTCTGACAAAGTCCTTACCTGCCCTTCCCATTAACAGGATTTCTACAGGGAACTTATTTTCTCCATGCCCCCTGTAAAGACAATTGACTCAGGGAAGGCATCAGCTCTTATCTTAGCAGGATATGCTCAAAATACAGTTTTAATAACTGTCATGTACACATATACATGTGAAAGTTATTCCTGCAGACAGGCTTCAATCCAGCTCTCTCCAATCCTAGTTTGTTGTGATCTTGCCCTCTTTCTTATTTTCTTTTTAAATTGATGAACTAGGGCTCTTCAGACCCTAATTTACACAGAGGATATACAGAAGCTCTTTACTCCACAGAATTGGAAAGGCTATGAATATTGGCTCTACTGCTATGGGATAGAGAAAATCTTCACCTCTTACATATCCGACTTCCCTGCTGCATGGGAAAGGCAAAAGGGACATAAGTTAAATCACAGGGACAAGGAGTTTCTCCATAGTTATGGGATTCCTACAGCTTTACACACTACTGAGCTATTTCTACAAGACTGTCCTAGAGATGAAACTCAGGATGTGTGTAGTAAATAGATATTGTCTTTTGGGTACTTTCACATATATGAGGCACATATAGAAATTTTGGCACAGTCTGTCAGCCTTATAAGCAACATATTCTTAGAAGGAAGGCAAGGTCTGCATTTGTGTGACAACAGTCAGAATTTCCAGGTTTGATTACTAAGGGTGTCATTTCCCTTCTTTACTTACTAATGTCAGTCTGTGTCTTCACAATAAACACTGAGCAGTATCAGGAATGTTTGTTGCTTTCTCCTGCTTTTCTGTGGTCCACACCCATTGCTATAACAACCATACTGTACAAACATTTTGGAAGAAGGAAAAAAAATCCCTTTCACTAGAAAGTGTCCAATGCTATCAGCTGCGAATCCAAGCGTGACTCTTATTGCCATGCCAGAAGTCTGCAAAAAAAGTCTTGCAAAAGGAAAAAAGACTATCCACACCCCACAAGAAAAAGCTGCTCTCCAAGATCCCACTGGATACAACAATACTGAACTTGACAATAGGATATTCTCAAGTTCTCACCTGGCAGGAAAAAAACATCATTGCACCTAGAATAAAAACAACACATCAAATACCACCCCTTAGCACAATGAGTAAGTGTCTTCAGAGACCACAAATACCAAAATAGTTCCTCATCATTATCATCCAGTGTCCTATACCTCTATTCCCACTTTCAAATTCCTTCATCTCCTTTAAGTGGCAAACATCCAAGCCTCATTTCTGTTCTATTCTTTAACTCCCTTTCTAAGAGGATATCTGCAAACACATTTTACCTTTCAAGACTATTCCAAGTCTTTTAAATGTTCTAGTTTTATACTAGCCATGCCAGTTTAATGTTTTTCCTGAAGAGTCAATACTCCTGATACAGACAAAAAGGTATTTAGGTACTTTTCCCATCACACTAAAATAGATCATAATTTTAAAATCACATCAGCTGTGAAAAGAAATCAGTGACTGCTAAACATCTGAATGGGTACAAAATTAAGGACTTCAACACTAAACACCTCTCTACTTCACTTCTGCCGAGAAAATACAGTGACAATTTGGTTTATTTTTGTTCTCTTTTGTTAAGAATTCCGTTAATTCTTTCCCACTGTGATAAGATGCAAGAATTAATTCAGTTAAGGTTTTATGAAATCAGAAGACAAAGTCATAAACATATTACACAAAACACAGTGTGCTATCACTGATCACAGTGCAAATGCATTCTGGGCTACTTCAAGAACACAAGTGGCTCTGTGCATGTTGTTACCCTTTATGCAGTGTCTGAGACAGCTTCTAGGACACCATTTCCAGTTTGGTTCTCACAGTTCCCTCAGTTTGGTTCCCTCAGTTCAAGAAGGAATAAACTGGAGAGAGGTCAGAGCTACTAGGAAAGTCTGTGGTCTAAAGCAAATTATCTGTCGGGAGAGTTTGAGGACTTGTTTAAGACAGTGGAACCTAAGGAAGTCTTTGCAAACACTTAAAACTAACTCCCTGAAGAGTGCTTACAAAGAGGACTTGCCACTTCTTATCAGCAGATTATACAACTAATAAACCTACACTCTGAAGCTCGGAAGGTTCAAGTAGAAAATTAGGACTGTCTTTTACTGCACATTTGTTTCAAGGAAAAGAGGAAAAACAAAGTTTCCACGCTGAAAAGCCACACAAACTCCTGAAATAAGTAACACAAAAGCTGGCATTCAGTCATATAGATACAATACATCCACAAGGATACTGTCACCTTCAGGAAAAGCTGGCAGTTACATTGCTGTCTCTCCAGCCTTCTATAAAGCTGGAGAGCTTCCCATGAATCTCTTTTCTAGCATTGTAGTATCTGTATCAATCATGACACATACTAGTAGTCCTACTGAGGAGCGCACCCAAAAGAACTAAAACAACTCTGGTTTATTGAAGGTACTATTCAGACTCACTAATAACTACAGCAATCACCAAAACCAACACAATTACTAATGTTAAGCATTACTAAGATTTTTCAAAACCTACATGCTAATTTTTCTTTATGTAATTGAACCAAGCTATCTACAGTTTGCCCAATTAAAGCCACAGTAAAGAAGACAAACAAAAATGTCTGAGCAGGAAAGAGTCAGAGGCGTTTTTATCCCCCATACTGCTAGTGACAAAAATACAGGAATAGAATTTAAAAAATTTCATTTTTACAAAAATTTAGCATTGAAACTAAAACCTAGGTCTGAAAAAAGCATGCAAAAGACAAGAAGGATACAAGAAATAAGAACAATGAGGACCATAGTATTAAAGGACAACAAAAAGCAAGGCTAACGACAATGTTCATGAAAGTCAATCAGATCGTATCAAAAATTCTGAGGAGAAGAATGACCTTTCACATTAAACCGAAACCACAAAAGCGACTAAAAATTCCCAAAAAAACCCCAGGGAGTAAAGAAATTTATGAGACAATTCCAAGGATTAACTCAAAAATTTTTCTGTCACAGGGCTCAGTACCGAGTAAGAAGACTTTTAATGTTTTATAATAAATTTCTAGAATGACCAATACTACAAGGTCAATCTCATTCCTTTGATTTCTTCCTAATTTACCTAATTTAATGGATTTTCAAAAAAACCTGACAGACCACTTAAGAACAAACTAGCGCCAAACAGCTGAGCTGGAAAGGCAAGTTTCAGCCCTCATGCTCTGGAATAGATTTAAACACTTTCATTTTAACTAAGTTAAATCGCACTTCTGATGATATAGTTTTGAAATGTCATATATCAAGCATGGGCGACAAAAACCTTTATTTTATCATTAATACACGATAGTAAACGCCCTGGATGAGAACAACACAATGAAAGAATGAGAGAAGAAAACAGAGAGCAGTGACAAATTTGGTGTTGCTATGAAGTTTGAGGAAACCAAACTCCATAAGGAACATGCTATGAGCAAAAACAAAGGTATATCGTATGAATATAATTTGAATTTGGCGGCATTTTGCTGATGTGCTCTGTGGGCTAATTTTAAAGCCATGTCAAATAAGTTTCAGACATTACTTCACGTATGAGACGCGGGAAGCAGCATCACTAATGCACTTAGGGCCTTTTTCTTGTATTTTACATACACTGCTGTCTTCTACGGTAACAAACTGGAGAAATAACTTACCACTGCTGCACTGAGCCTGTCTCTGATTAAGGGAAGACTCTGCTCAGCAGAAAAACTGTTCTTCAGCCTGCAGGAAGAAAACAAGCATCTAAAATAAGCACCTTCCCGCAAAAATCAAGTTCCGTCAAGTCAACGCCTCATCTTCCTCCCATGCCTTCCCATTAATTCTATCATGACTAAAAACCGTTTCAAGGAGAAAGCGGGAAACTGTTCCCCGGAATAAGGTAACAGTTATTTCCTTCCAGCTCCGAGCAGGCCCTTTGCCGCTGCCAGTATAAGAGGTAAGGAAGAGCTCGCTGCCTTAACTCTGGGGCGGTCCCCCGGAGCCGGCACCGTGGCGGGCACTCCACGCTGGAGCCGTGCCGGCTCGGGCAGCGCAGACGGGCGCACAGCCGGCGGAGCAGCAGCCGAAGCGAGTGAGCGGGAGCAGCGCTGCCCGCAGCGACACAGCCCAAGGGCTCCGTGTCCCGAGCGCTGCCTCTCTAGAAGCTGCGGGTGCCTTCCCCCCTCTCCCCCATCCCCTCCCGGCCTCTCACGAACCCAGACTAGCGATTGCCGCGGCGGCACCACCGCCTCCTCGGCGCGGCCCTGACGTCACTACGCCGCGACACCAGAGCGCTGCCCGCGCCGCTCCGCCGGCAAAGGCGGGGCGGGGGCGGAGCCTGAGGCGGAGGGGCGGGTCCCCGGAACTGACGTCGGGCGGCGGTTGCGCTCGCGCAGGGCGGTTGGCGCGGCGGGCGCGTGCTCCCGCTGCCGGATGAGCCTCGGGTTGCGGGGAGTTCTGGGGCGCTTCGTGGATAACGCCCCGGGGCCCTCCTGGGCGGCTGCAGCTGCGCGGAGCAGGGCATCACGGCGGACATGCGTGGCGTTTATGTCAGAACATAACGCTAAAAACACAAAGTGTGTAAAAAAATAAAGTGTACTTTACTGGCGTGCCAGCGGCTGGGAATGACTGCACGGGCACTGCGACTCCGGGCCATGAGCGGACAGGCGCTTTGTGCAGAGTCAGGGGTCTAAAGCGCCGCGTTACCTTATCGGCGGACGTTGATGAGAGTCGCCCTGCAAAATCCTTTTTCTGTTTTTCTTTTCTCCCCCTCTTTCTCTAACCCTTTCCTCCTCTTTCCCCCTCTTTCGTTCATTTCTCATTTCCTTTTATCCTTTCCACGCTACCCCTTTGTAATGAACGAGGCCAGAGCTTTTAGCTGAGAGTCACCCGGTCTTTTAAAACAGAGTAACAACTTTCTTGTAAAAGAGGCACTAGTTTATTAAAAGCAGCTGTAGAAAACTGAGGACCCGAGATAAGCCCGAGTCCCCTCGCAGCACGACGGAAAACCGATACAAATGTGTCGAACCCCCGACACACCGGGCGCTCCCTCAGAAACGAACTCCTCAGGAGAGCAACGAGCAGGAGCCTGACAGCCCCTTTTATACCCCCCCGGGTCCAGGATTGGTGGGGTTTGGATCCCCGTGATAATTGGTCCGTTTTGGGGGCTTTCATTGATCCTTCTCACGGCTCATTCCTGTCCAACCATTCTCTCGGGGCGTCGAGTGACCGGACCGCTCCTTCCGCCAATCTCATCTCGTGGCGCTGATGTCACTGCACTGACCTCACTCCCGAGATGTGACCACGCCCCTCAGGAACAGCCCCCTCGCCATCCTGGACCCCTTTAAACTTTTAACAAACATTACTTTAACTTATTGTAACATTTCAACTAACTTGAAACACAATTAACTTCTTCATAAAAATCACCACAGAACTTAGAAAATTAACAACCTTAACTTGTAACAAACTAACTAAATTTTACCCATAACACCTTTATCCAAAACCCACTGCCATGTGCTTACGGACTAAGGGTACTAAAGACGGCCAGTTTTACGCCGTGTGTCATTTACTAATAAACTTTGGAAAGCTTTTGCGGACCCAATGACTTCTGTCGTCCCTACTGACCGCTGCCACCTAGGACACACGGCTGTTCCATGCCTCGAAGGTTGGGACGTCCAGCGGGGCGAACCCGCTGCTCCCGGGAGGATCGAGCGCGCTCGCGGGACGGGAGACGCGCCCTTCGCGCTGCCGCTGCCGTGGTCCGCCGGCCCGCCAGGGGGCGCTGCCCCGCCCGCCGGCCGCACGCGGAGCCGCTCGCCGTCTGCAGTGCCGCGCGGCACGTGGGGCGCGGGGCCGGGGCCACCCGATCGCGAGAGGGGCCGGGCCGGGCCGAGCTGAACCGAACCGAACAGAGCCGAGCTGAACCGAGCCGAGCCGAGCCGAGCCGAGCCGAGCCGAGCCGAGCCGAGCCGA